AAAAAAACGGAATAAAAATAAATTTAAAAAAATATAAAATCTAAAAATATTTGCATTTATTGTTCTTGAAACTGGATTCAGGATTATACAGGAACATTGGATATTGCAGCAGAAAACAGGTAATGCAAATAATTAATCCTTAAGTATATAAAATGCCAGTTTTGATTTACGAGTATCATAATTTATTATCTGTTACGAAACAATTTTTACACAGGATAACAAAGAAGAAAAAAAAAGGGGGGATGGAATTTAAATAATACATTTAGACATATATGTAAATGATGCTAACTGGGGATCAATCACTACACTCCAGTCCACTGCACTCCACTCGATATAATCGATTGAAGTGTCTCTGTGGGTGTATCGCTTTGTGTCGGCATTTGTGATGGCTTCATGGAGACTGATAATGGCATATAACTAACATAAACCTAAACTCAGATATCGCAGATCTAATCTGGACATCTACTCTCCTAGTTATTGCTACCACAGAAGTGGCCCAGCTTTTGCCAGAAGGCGCCCAACTTGGAGGACTGCTTCTTGGTGGCTCTCTGGGCGGCCTTATCGTTCTTGAAGATCACCCATTCACGTCTCGTCTCGGGATTGGCCGGACCCCACTTGTCGCTGGGTCGTAGCGAGGCCACAAAAGACTGTAATGGGTAATTAATTGGACATTAATTAATTAGGATCTCGATCTCCAGATACTCACTTGTCCCAAGCTGCCCTCCCTGTGATGGGAAATGTGCCACATCCACCAAAGTGGGAATTGTGCGGCTCCGATGCCAAACAGCAGCCAGCCAGCCACTAAAGAGTTCAGAGATTTGAGATTATGGGAACCACGACTTCAGCAAAGACTTTACACACCATTTGCGGACTCCGGGAAGTACTGTTCGCTGTAGGTAATGGGCTCGATGGTGACCATCGAGTAGATGAAGATGACAATCATCATGACGGGCGTGAAGAAGGACCAGCAGACGCGCCAGTAGAGGGACACCCTTCGGTTGCACATGAACTCGATATCATCGCAAAAGTTCTGCAGGCCATAGATCCAGACAATACCTGCCAGCTCGAAGATGGCCAAGATGAAGACCACATAGGTGCCGCCATAAAAGTCCACCAGCGTCAGGATCCACTGTCCACCCTAGATAGAGGCAGACAGAACACAGCATTAAAAACCAGAAAAACAAAATAAAATAATTTTCTGCCGCACTTACTGGAGTCACATAGACCAGGCCCATAAGGAAGCCACACATGGAGGTGGCCAACGCCACTTTCCAGTATTTCCAGCTCTTGAACTGATCGCAAAGGATCGTCACAATCGTGCTCTGCAGGGCCACAATCGATCCAATGCCCAGGACAAATAGCATAAAGAAAAAGAGCACCGAGAAGAGCTGTGGCACCGCCTGGAACTTGGATATGGCATCAGGATACGAGATGAATGCCAGTCCAGTGCCACTGCGCACCACATCGCGGATATTCTCGATCTGCAGATTGTGCGCCAGATTGCCGAGAATCGCAAAGATGGTAATGCCGCCCAGCAGACTCGTCAGCGTGTCCAGTGTGGTAACAATCATCGCATCTCTGATAGAAATCAAGAAAATGTTTAACAAAGGATCTTCCTCCATGCATTGCGAGTGCTGCTCACCTGTAGATGCCATGATCGAAGCGATTGTAAGAGGCAAACATGATGATCGGGCCCGAGCCGACAGCAAGCGAGAAGAAGCACTGGACGACGGCATTCTTCCACACTGTGGGATTCAGAAGCTCCCCCCATTGCGGCTCCAGGAAGAAGATGATGCCGTCCCGTGCACCCTCCAGGGTGACGGCCCTGACCAGCAGAATGAATAGCACCACGTAGGGGAACAGGGCCAGAAAGTAGGCAGCCTTACCAGAGCTCTTAACACCGCGCATGATCACCAGGAAGATGACCACCCAGGACACAAACAGAGCCAACGTTAGCTTCCAGTCGGGGTCACCAATGCCGTCGGATATGTCCAGCTTTTCCTTGATCACCACATTCCTATCAAGACACACACACACACAGGGAGTTAAAAGAGAGCTGTGGTTCATCCCCCTCACAAATGAGAACTTACAGAAAATAGAGCTCGGAGCTGCTCTGAAGCTTCCCGGTGTCCGTGTCCGTGTTCGCCAGGGCGGTAATATTACTACTGCTGAAGAGCAGGCTATCCGTTTCCTCCTGGGGCCTCGAGTTCACACAGTTAATCCAGTCGTCCCAGCAGTAGGACCAGGGCAACACCGATTGGAAGGACACAAACAGATAGTAGAGCGTCAGGGCCAGCAGGGAGGAGTAGTAGGTGATGATGCAGATGGTGGCAAAGGCCTGGCCATAGCCCACGCCCACAAAGCCAGGGACCACCGACCAGATCTTCACAGTGCCCTGACTGGTGAACTGTCCCATGATCATTTCCAGGTAGTACATGGGCTTGCCTGCAAAATGGACAAAAATAATCCAATTGGGAGCCAGAATACATTTATCTTTTTAGCTTTTTGCTTACCAATCAGGAAGAGCACAATGATGTAGGGTATGAGAAAGGCACCGCCACCATTCTCGTAGGCCGTGAAGGGAAATCTCCAGACATTGCCCAGACCCACGGACACCGATATGCAGGACATGAGAAACTCCAGGCCATTGCCCCAATTGGAACGCTCGGCCTGCTGCTTCTCTGCATCCACCTTCTGCAAAAGAGATCAAAGATTGGATGTCAGAGTCCCGCCAAACATGAGTTATACGTGTTTGCCCGGCATTCCAGACACATGACTAAATATTTAGACACTCATTAGCGGTGGATTTTTGTCTCGGGTAAATATGATTTGCGGCAACACACACACACACACACTCAGCCACCCGGCCACGACTACGAGTATCAGCAGCGTTGGAATTTCCAAATCTGAATTCCCAGATAAGCCACACGCAAATATGTATCTAAGCTTGTATACTCTTTTTACTACAGATAGATAATGCCACATGCCGTATACCACATATCACTATCCTTTCATTGTGACATATTTATAATTGTTTCCATGTAACGTGATAAGATTTGAGCAGGGAATGCGACACTCGATTGATGCTACTCTACTAAGTATTACTCAATCACTCTTACGATTGTGTGGGATGGTTGAAAGAGTTAATAACCTTTATCCTCTGAATATGGAAATACAACTGTCTCATGAACCATTCACGAATCTAGAGCTTGGTTGATCAAGCATTGTGTGTGATTGCAAATCATTAGTTGAATAATGTTGAAGAAAACTTTTCATTTAGTCATTCTGTGCATTGTTTATATAATTATTTTATTCTCAAAGTCTCAAAGTGTCCCCCTTTCATTTAAATTAATGGAAATTTGCTACATGCAACTTTTATTTCATGAATCAGCGAAGCGAAAGGGAATGTCCAGAAGGGCCTTTGAATCAGAATCTAAATCTGAATGCAGTTTGTTCTATAAATATAAATTAGCAATTAGACCCTCGTCATTTGGTTTGGGAAAACAGCAAAAGCAGAAAAACCCCCCGTCGACAAAGTGCTTAAATGGTTTTAATACTCCTCATAATTTCAATTTCCATTCTGGTCAGCCACTAATCGGGAAACTTCCCCGGCATTGAGATCCATCATTCAACATCGCACAGTTTTAATGCAGCAAAAAGTTCACACGTTGATTGGACAGACAGACAATTGGATTCTAGTTAATGACTCACTCACTCGCCGGTCGGTGTCTCTAAAGCAATTATAATGTTCATTTACACAAGTGCACAGACACAAGAGCACGAGAGTACCCGGTTCAGAGCTATTGTTCCGAGTTGGGGCATAAAACGCACATTTCGAAATGATTTTAAAACACTCTCGCGTTATGGGTGTCATTACTTACGGATAGATAATTATGGCGAGCACTACATTTATATTCTACTAATATGTATAATGGATATCTATTTTCAGCAATACATGGAGTCAATTATTTGCACAGCAGCAACCAGCTGGGGTATTTCGTTGGCGTCGTTAACTGTTGTTTTAACGGCCCTTAACATATTCGTAAATAACAAAACAGCAAAAAGGGCTGTTTAAATAAAATAATAACTCAGAGAGAGACACACAGATACGATGGGAACGGTGGCGTAGGCAATTACGGAGATAAATGAAAACGAAAACTGCATCATTATGGGTCTGTGGAAATTATAGAACCGAAGCCAAAGCCAAAGCCCAACTGTTTGCCTCTCCACTTTATCTACGCCAATGGTGTTACAATCTTGTATTCATTTTGCAATGATACCTTACAAAATATATCTCTACAGTATATATATTGTCTGTTGCGAGACCATAGATATTGAGAGGCTGTTGAACTTCAGATTTGTTATCTAATGGGTGCAACGAGCGCTCCTTAATGGATGATGAATGGATGTGGGTATGGTATGGTATGGGGAATTATGCATTATTTAAATGCAAGAAAAGTTCCCCCAAGCCTGCTGGCCACACTGATTTAGCATTCAGCTTCCGTATGTGGTAATACCACAGAATTATTTCCCACTGGGCTGTTCCCCATTTGATCAAGTTGAGGGTTCGGATCGGTTCTGTCATTGCAGTCATCTTTCGTGTGGAAACGGGTTTCCGCCCCTGCGATATGCCCACGATATGCGCACTTAAACATATAGTATCTAATAACATGAGGAATATGTACGAATACTACGAGTAAAATATATCTGGAAAGTGTGTTGTTAAGTGCTGTCTAAGATAAGTTTCGGTTCGGTTCGGTTCGGTTCAGTTTCAGTTTCAGGGAATTATGGTTTTTTCCTTGCTTTTGTGTTTTGTTTTTGTTTCTGTGGCATTCACTATGTACGCCGGTGGGGCAATAAACCGTATAAGATATGCATTTAATATCCGCTAGACAAAGTCTTTCCCTGCTCTTGCTATCCGCCATCCGCTGCCATCCGCTGCCCTCTGCTCTCCCCTTCTCTGTCTGCCTGTGCGTTGGGCGGTGGATTGTAAATCGCATATTCGTTTGTCGGTCGATTAGCCCTGCAATTAAAGACTGACTGACTTAATGATCATAATGACCATAAAGCCATAAAACAAAAACAAAGCAATGCTGGAGCCACGGAGTGCCATGACTAAAGTAGTCAGTCCACAACAGCATAGCAGCCATAAGCCGGCATCAAGTACAGCACATCCTTATGCCCATCCTTTGGCTGGTGTGGGTCACATACTTTCACACTTAACTGTGGCTTACAATTCTCTAATCTGTCGCCATATGGCGGCCATCCACTTATGCCCGCCACTCCACACTCGAGTGGTGCTGGTGGCGGTGCCCCGGCACTGCACTTGAAACTAATTTCATTAGCTCTTTGGCCCGTGATTGTTTTATGTAGTGCTGCACGGGTGGTGGAGGCGGTCTTGCTTTACTTACTTCTGTTGTGGTTTCTGTTGCTGTTGCTGTCGGTGTCTGTGTTGTTGGTGCTGATTCTTCTCCTTCTGGTCCTGCAGCAGCACCGATGTTGCCATTGCTGTTGCCATTCTGCTGATGAACACCTTTCAGTTCCATTTTGAAGCTCCGCTTTGTGGCACAATTTGAAACAGCGACTCTCTGCTCTTGTGACGTTCTCTGTGCACTTGAAACTGTTTTAATTGCAATTGGTAATTAAACACATTTCATGGGCCAAACCGATCTCAGCCCTTGGCTCTGGTTATGGCTCCGTGGTTATGGTCACTGGCTTTCGATGGAGTGGTTGTGGTGCCGCGAATGCCACGGCTAGAACTGAGAATGTTCCGAGCGCTTGCCGCTTTAAGAACTGCCAAAGTACAAGCAGCGTTTCGCCAGGCAGCGTTTCGGCGGCGCTCAAAGCCCGGCGCAGGCGAACCAACAGGTAAAAAGCGTGAAATTATTCACGAACGCACTCACACCACCCCAACCGGCATTCACATTCACATTCACACTCACATTCACACTCACATTCCGATGCCCGTACCATCTGTCGGACGAGGGGAAAAACTTTGTGATCGTGCGCTCGTCGTGGCCCCAGCCACAGATAGATACTCATCGGTTGGACCCGATTGTCGCGTGCTAACTTTCCATGTCGCAGTTTTTGTGTGTAGTTTTTCCCCAGCAAGTACCAGCATGGCCAGTGCTCACTGTGGGGCGCTACGTTTGAAACATCCAAAAAACTTCGATAAAAAAAGCGCCAAGAAGGTGAGCGGTTTAATTATAAAACATTGGATGGCGCTGCTGTGGTAAATACCTACCCAAAGAAGCAGACGCAGACGCAGTAAAACTCACTTCCCGATCCAGAACCAAAACCCAAGACCATGACAAACGTTTTTTCGGGTACCCATAGAGATTAAGTAGGTTCTCCAGTACCGCTATCCGATGTCCGACAGGAAAGTGAAAAGAACTCCAGACACTACTACTTGGACTGCTGGCCCACAAGTAATCGATAATAAATTCAGTTGAATTCTATTCGTTGGTCAATATTCATTGACGGGCCACAAACATTTACGATCCAACGCGCCTGATCAGCGGTCCTATAGTTAATTACGTGCCGATCCATAGCTCCATCGATCCATCGATCCATCGAGGGGAATGCGCACTTTCTTGGTCATGGACTACCATGACGTCCAGAGTTCTGCTCGATACCAAAAATAATTGCAAGTACAATCCAATCATTCGTCAGTTCTTAGGCAATTTTATAATGCCAGCAGATAAGTTTTAGTTTTTCCATGAAACTGGTGTATCCATTCGCAATGGATCCGGCATAATCTTTATGCACACGTGTACGTAAAATGTGTGCGTAGATAATAATAAGTATCATAAACATATCGTAATTGGCATCGATTTCAGTGTGGATAAGATATAGGACAACGGCTTCCATTGAAACAATTCTGACGACCTATCTTTTACAATCCTTTTCTGTGGTGATTTACCCAATAGGGAATGTCTTTTTGGGTCGAAATATTGCAAAACCCAATCCAATAACATACGAAACGATTTGTTTACTTTTCAATAATATTTTATTTAATGTACTTGCATTATATTTAGTTAATAACTAGATTTGTAAATTATTCTCACTTGAATGCGTCTATAAATTAATTCTTATTCGTATCTCTCGTCACTCCTCCTCTCAGCACTACTAGATAAGAAACAAAATAGGATATAACCGGATATAAATAGGGAAGCAGAACCGCACACACGCACACACGATGATCGTTAGGGGAGGACGAGTCTATCCGTAAAAGAAGGTTAACTTCGGGTATTCGCGGGTATGTGGGCTCTTCAATCATGATTACAGCTCTATCGCTATGTCAGCTTATCAGTTTATCAATCAGTACATCAGTATAAATATTTATCAAAAATTGTACAAGTGACAAAAGCTACATTTGAAATCGAAGATGAAATTACCAAAGAAAAGTCTGAATTGAAAATAGAGTTTGGATGGGAATTTGATTCTGGGGAACACTTAATTTTTCCACAGTAGCACATCATGTGGTGAGGAAGAGGCACAACAAAGGCGGGGCGAACAGAACGAATGAATTATTTTAAATTAGCAAATTAATGTTAATTAATTACACACGATAGATCTAAAAACAAACAGGAAAAAAATGGTGTAATAATATTAATAAAAATAATTCATTATGATTATGATAATGATAATGATAGAGCAATAATCATAGTAATAATAATTGTTGTTTAAACTATCGTAGAAGAAGAATAACACGCCAAGTCTTTCAAATCGCCGCACAGAATCGTAAGAATCCGGCCATATATAAATGTGAATACAGATATATAGATACAGCATATAGATTTATGGATAGATATATATATATATGTATATATGTATGTATATGATCATCACTTGTACGTTTTATTAACTAAATTATTTAATTGTGCCCTTTTTGGCAATTACGATGACAATAACGATGACGACAAATGAAAACCGTGACGACGACGACTATTAAGCATTTGTTTTTGCTGGTTGTTGTTTTTACTATATTTTGTATTTTATAAATTGATTTTCTTCTCTCCTCTCGCACTCTCTACTCTCTCTCGCTCTCTTTTTCTTCACTGTTTTATTGTATAAATTACAATTTAAGTTTCTCTTTATCGCATCCAAAATAAATATGTATAACATGATTTGTGTGTGTGTGTGTGTGTGTGTGTTTGTGTTTGGTGTAATATTATTAGTTGTATGTACTGGGGGGCATCCTTTTGGGTTGGGTGAAGATGGTTTATGGGTTGGGGTTGGGGTTTGTGTGTGTTGTGCTGTACTTGGAATAAGACTTCCTAAAGCTTCTCTTCTGTCTCTGGTCTAAAAACACCCCAGAGTTTGTAACATTTTAAGCGATTTTGTTTTAATTGTATTCCTTGTCAAGTCATTCTATGAATAGTTTGTTTCTTTGTTTTCTTCTTTTGTTTTTTGTTTTTTGTTTGAATCTTTCTTGCATTCGCAAATTGAATTTCAGAAAGAAAGGCATTTAAGGTTTCACTCCTTTTTTTTTGTTTAGTTTTAGTTTCTTTTGTGGCAGCACTATTTGCAGTTTGTTTTTTGTTTAAATCAACAATTATTGCTTTTGCTTTTTGCGTTTGCTTACGCGTTTTTCTCTCTTTGTCTTTGCATTGCATAATTGCTTTTGTTTGTGATTGTATTTACATTATTTTTGCACATGCTTGGTGGGGCGTGGAGGAGGAGAAACAACTCTTCCCCCACCCTGTCCACAAATCTCTTTAAACTTCTACAATTCCATTTAAATCTTTCTGATCTAGTTCTCTGCTCTAGTTTAAGTTTTAGTACCTGTTTCTGTTTGCTTTTGTTTTGTTTTAATTTGTTGACTAACAATGGCACACACGCATATAAATATATTGATTCTGTTAACGAGTTACAATCATTTCTGTCATCATTTGTTGTCTGTTTCTTTAGGCATTTAGCGGCGCTTGTTTTGATGGGTAAGGTCGAAAGGGAAGAGGATGCGGATCGGGAGGGGTTCACAGCAGATTAAGTATTTCGCATTCGACTTGAGCATTCTCGCCATCTCCCCCTAACTCTAGCTCTTTCTCTGTATTCTTTGCTCGGGGGATTTGTGTTTTGTAATTTATTTCTTCAAAGTAATATTGTACTCTTCATGGTTCGACTTTTTGTTTAAATATATATGAATAAAAACAACATAATTCATACACATATAAAAACGTATCGGAACGATCAAAAACCGGAGATGATATAGATACACAATCAATTTTTAAAATATGTATATACTACATGTATATTCCATTCCTATGCTTATCTGTATGTACAACTACAAATATCTCGTCTCTCTTTCTTTATCTCCGAATCTGATTTTGATTCTGATTCTTTTGTTTTCATTTAGTGTCTGATTCTCGCATGAACGAACGCTTTGATATTGGGTTTAGTTTGCTTTCTTGTTTGTTTTTGTGTGTTTTCTGCATTTCGTTATTCAATTTATAAAAATAACTATTTACACTAGATAGTAGACCTACTTACAACTGAGTATGGTAATATCTTAAGCGGTTCGACTGCTTTCACTCTCCTGCCTTTGCCTTCCTGCCTTTGTGCCTCTGCCTCTGCTCGCTCTCCTGATTGCTGGTTGCTGATTGATTCATTGTTTGTTGGTTGCCTGATTTGATAGATTGTTGTGCCTCTTACACAAGCCCTACAGCAGTCCTGTACCCTGCGATTTGGTTTACATTTCTTGTTTGTTGTGTGTTTGGGTTGCGAGGCAGGCGGCAGCAGTCAACACAGAATATGTGGCGGCAGACAAACGGTGCGTGTGCCTCTCACATATGTATATATAATTTTATATAGTTATGCATGCAGGAGGCACGAGTGTATGTGTGTTAGTGAGGTGTCTTATACATATATGCGTGTGTGTGTGTGTGTTTTTTGGGGGAGGATGGAAGGGAGGTATGTGGGGTTTATGTATGATTAGAGAGGTCTCTCTTTTCTAGGCTCAGTCGCAGTCTACAAATCTTAACTAACGTTTTTTGTTTTGTTTAATGGAGGGGGCAGCGAGCACTTTGGCTTTGACCTTCAGTTCATCCGCAATCCTTAGCAAATTTTTAGCAATATCCTGCCACCGTCTTGACCGCCGCCACCTCCGGAGCCAGAAGACTCCACAAAGCGCTTGATTTTTGCTTTTGGACTGGGGTTTTGACTGTTTTTTGCTTTGCTGTTAAAGTGTGTTTTTCTGTTGTTTGTGTTTTGCAGATAGGAGCAGTTGTTGGTACTAGCGTTAGTTGTTGTTGAGTAGGGCTCTAGGTTAGTCACGCATCTCCACCCATTTCGCGAGATTTCTAGCGACCAGTTCCTTATTGAGAAAGATTACATTCTGAAAGAGTCGAAAAGAATCAAAAGTTTGTGTGTGAATTCTCATAAGCAAAAACTAAGTTCTCTTTGCATTTCTTTGCTGTGATTCGCGCCATCTCTCTCTGATTGATGTCCAATAGAATGGACACGCGTGGAAAAGAAGTGTACTCACATTGGGGCCTAGGGAAGCAAATAAAAAGATTTCTGGTATGTTGTGACTATTGTAGCCGGCGACTTGTGCTTGCAAGACAATGCCTTTGGTTAGTTTGCTGAGGACATCGATCGCCTCCAGAGACCAGGTACCGTCTGTGGGAAGGAAATATTATTGGACAGTTCATGGTGCATGCCGCAGGCTGCGTGTCTTACCAATGGGCTCAATGTTGGACAGGATGCATTCTGTTGCCTGGAAAGGCACCACCATGAAATCAGTGCGGATCTGACGGAGAACGCAGAGGTTCACGTTCATGTAGCCACCAAAGTCAAGGAATTTAACCACACAACGCTCCTCATCCTCATCATCGAGATCGACGATTTGTACGCGATACCAGATCCCGTTGACAGGCAGCACGCAAACGGCACCGATCTCAATGCCCGGCAGCAGAGGAGCCTCTATTTCAGAGTAACTGTCGTACAGCTGCTTCTGCAGCATGGGCAGGGCCGGGTGCGAGGGATGCAGCGGATGATTGACAAACAGATGCGATCCAGAGAGCACGGCACTGACCACCACATCATTATTGATGCCCTCAAAGAGTTTAAGCTGCAGGCAAAAGAGAAATGATTAGACACGAGCTTGGAGATTGAAGCAAGCGACATTACTCACTTGTAGATTGGAGAGGCTTTGCGCCGATAGAGGAACTATGGTTTGTGGAAGCGCAAAGTGGATGCGTTGCATTGTAAAGTTTGGATAGCGCTTGACGGGCAGACGCTGACGGATCATGGACAAGGCAGCATCGATCTCGCTCTCCGTGCCCTCGACAATGCAAATTCGCAGCTTATTCGTGCATGGGTTCTTGCTGAGCGTCACACTCGCCTGGGTCTTGGCCTTGATCTGGTTGATAAAGGCACGCTTACGGCCGTACAGCTGACCAATTAGGCTGACGGGGAAGACAAACTCGTAGCTGACCTTGACACGTGTCGCCTCTGAACGGGGCAGGCTGGAGCCCTTGCCCGAGTCCCCAGACTGAACGCTGCAAATACTGAGCGAGGGGCTGGCAGCATCCACATTGCGTTTCTGGTTACCATTGCTATCTGTCTCCTTGAGTTCTGTCTGCTCATCACAGTCGCGGTGGCTTACCACAGCAGCCTCCTTGGCATTTTGGTTAGACTTGGGCTTGCACTTGGTGTCCTCCACCGCCACCTTCTTGCTGTCGTTTGGCTGGCAATTGTTGTTCTGCTCGCACTCCTTCGTGTAGGTGGCCTCAAGGAACGAGTTCTCTGGCGATATCTTTGGGGTGCGTGTGGCCTTGATCACCACCGGTTCGACGACCTTGCTGTTTGCCTTGCGATTGTAGAAGGAGACGCGTGTGTTCACCGAATCTGGTAGATCGCGCGGCGACGATAGATTCTCAAAGTCCTCGTCAATGCAGCAGAGCTTCTTGTGCTCGGCATCCTGTATCTTTGACTTGAGCATCTCCGAGTCGATCTGCTGCTGCTGCTGCTGCTGATGTACACCCGGCGGAGTCCGTCCATTGCTCTGTATCTTAATGGGAGCCGATTTTCCGTACAGCATTGTGTTGGGGCTTTCCTTCTCGTCGCTGCCGCTTCCACTTCCACTCCCGTTGCCATTTTCTGCGGCATCTGTGCCATTGATATTCATCGATTTGGTTGCCTCCTGCAGCAGAAAGCCCGTCGGGAGTTTACCGTTCTGTAGGCCACCGTTTGCAGTGCGCGCCTCCACAGGGGAGACAACGCCACCCGACGACTCCTTGGTGTTGTCCTCATCGTCTGGCTTGTCTAAACGATTTTTATTTCGGCGCCTGAACCAAAACACGCCCAGAATGAATGCTACACCGGGCAGTGACAAGTAGAGTAATGGACGACCGGATACCATTTTCGCTGAATATTGAAGGCTCTGTAAAAGAGAGAAAAACACATTCGTATTAGTTGCAATTTGAGATGATCCTTTTCAACAATTAATGATAGCCAACCCGTTTTTTATCTGAGTCTAATTTGAACATCTATATTTTCGCGTTGTGTTCATTTGTCAAAATCAAATGGCTACTGAACATGCACAGCAAAACGAATGTCTTTTAAAGCATTGATTAAGAGTTTAATTGCATTTTTGTCGGAATATTTTGTATTATTTTGTATGAAGTGAAGGGCCCAAAAATGTTCTCAAAGCTTGCAGTTTTTCTGACCTTTTCCCAGAAATAATAGACATTAATGATCGTTCCCCAATTTTTTATGGAATCGCCAAATGAACAGAGTGCGAATAACTCCAGCGGAGGGTGTTTATTATTTTGGGTTAATCAATGATCAATGATTATACAAATACGCAACGCCAAGACAGGGTTGAATAGATCATATGGAAGGGAGATGGGATCATCAAAGATCGTTGGTAAAAACTGAAATAAATGTAATGTAAGCTCTCTGACAATGTCGTAACATTTTCATGGAAACGACATATCTTCTGGGATATCTGGGTATGCTTTCATTCTTGCAAATGTCCTATAGTTGAATCTAAAAACAAAAAGGTTCTTTCGTGTTTTTCGAGCATCACGAGACCTGCAGTCCATGTGTGTGTCAGTCAGTGTGTGTGTTTTTGGCTTTTTCCTTTGTGAACTTTAGCGTGTATTTATAGCAACAAATAAAATACATAATTATAGACAACAATTTCGAGCAGCGCGCAAAGCAAATACTATAGCGAAAGAGTGAGACACAGACAGATAAAGCGAGAGGGGGAGAGGGTCCGAGATATGTACATATGTAGGTGCAAAGCAAATTTGAATGCCACGCGGAAGACCCACACACACATGCATACACACTTGGTATGGATGAAAGAGAGAGCGTGAGGGAGCCCAAAAGATCGAGAGAGCGTTGGAGCGCGTGCGCAAGAACGAACCAGAAACAAAATAAGAGCCAAAGAGAAACGAAAGGCAAGATACAACGAAACAAAAAGAACAAGCCGTTACGTTTACGGCAAATGTTATGAAATCATTACAAAACAAAAACTAAAAAACAACGAAGAAAAATTGTTATGCTGTGGTTGGGCATGGCATACCACATACCAGCTCCCCCCTCACCAAATTTCCTCCCATTCACAAACCCAAAACAGAAAAATTGTATCGATTGAGCAATTACCAAAACCGATCAATGGCTGAATCGAACAACAGCTCGTATTGATATCACACACTATCGCTATCGGCGGCTGCTACGTTGGCTTCGAACGGAAGGGTGGCGTGGCGTGGCGTATGGTGGTTGGTGGGATCGGGGGTTGGGGGATTTCGTTAAACGTTTTGGTTACAATTCGTTGTGGTTTGGAGTATTTTTGATTCTATTTTTTTTCTACTCCTTATCCATCGGTTTGCTATGCCGCCGTTTATTATTTGTTCTCGTTTTTCGTGCGAATTCGAGATCGAAATGCCGGCAATTTTTGTTCGTTTCGAACGCGTTACGTTTGGGGACAGATTGGGATATCGACTGCTCGATTTACGAAGGGAAACTATCTTACCCGCCATCTAATTGGGTTTGTCTTTCCACTTGCGTCCCCACTTTCTCCCTCGCCTCGCAATCTGTGCAATCGCGCTCCCCAACGAACAAAGCTGTCGACGGATGCGTGGTCGCAAGAGTTTTTTTTAGCGCCCCTTCCACCCACACACCCTCAAAGAAAGAGAGGGAGAGAATTATTTGCTCGTTTAAGGCAAAAAAAATCCTCTCACATTCAAATTTTTGTCAACGGTCTTTAAAGAGTTCGGTACAGTGGAGCAAATTATCATATTTTCGAGTTCATTTTCCGACCAAAATATATTTTGCCATTCAAATGCATTTATTCTAGATGAAGATAAAAGAAAATGCGTTTCGTCCCACTGTGACAAGTTTGCCCACGTTTCGTCACAGTGTTTGGGTCTGTGTTTGTGTTTGCATGCGTGTAGGCCCAAAGGTCCTCGGCCACACTGTGTAGACAGCTGATAAGGCTAATCGCCCAATCACAAATTAAACGCCAAACAACAAAGCAGCGTCAGATCGAGCGCCAGAGAGTGAGCTGGTGAGCGAGCGAGCTCGCGAGCGAGAGAGATACAGTGGGGGGAGTATTGAAGCAGACGGTCGAAGCTAAGAAGAGTGGGGCCATAAAATGCCTATGGAAGGGCATGACAACTGAGCATTTCCCAATCGTAATAAACCGGGTGACGGGAATTTTTTTGAAAAATCAAATGTTTACACACACATTTTGCATATGGCACACATCTAAACATAAGTGAATGTGTGTGCGTGTGCGAATGCCGTTAAATTTGTGCGTGTGTGTGGGGGTTTGCTCGCGTGCGTGTGTGGCATAAAAACAAACATGTTTTGCTTGATTTGAAGTTGGAGCTTTTTGACTTTGAACTTGCATGCCATCCACATCCACATCCATGGTTGTTACGAACTCTTTTAAACTCTGATTTGCAAAAAGAAACCATCACAGGGAGGCCACTAACACTAACAATTAAGCTTGAGCACAATGAAATTCCTTTCCTCATTCTTATCAAGCCGAAACTCGCGCAACTTTAAAAGGAGAGCGATGAGCGAGCCAACATACGAATACTATTAATACACCAACATACACACACGCGCAATAACATCTCCGCAGAGCATTGGAACGAACGAACGCACGCACCAAAACAACAACCAGGTGCAACACATACACACACACGCAGTTATAATCTTGGCAACGTGGTTTTCGATCATATGGTTCAGGTTTTACCGAAAAGGAGGGGAAAAAAAAGAGGAAGAGAGAGAGAGCAAGCTAGACACTGTTGCTCCTTCTATCGAGTATCGACGTTTGGGTTGTATAACGGAGGTACATTTTGACATTGCAGAGCCAAAGATTGGGGGTGTGGCATCATCTCCCTCACTCTGTTATCAAACGATTGATTGGGGCGGCGGTGAAAGCGGCTAAGGAAAACTAACAAAGTCATTTTCTACACATACATCATTTGGAATGACTCACACACGCACATACACATATCTCTCACTTGCACATTAGTTCACACCTACACACATGAATATATGTGTTCAGGCTTATGTATGCCGACTAGTGTGTAGATATGTATGTTTGGGCAGAATACCAGCCATCCATTGTGTAATCGTTGGACAACAATACTTAACTGGGCCCCCAAGGAGACCCGTGAAATGGAATTTAACTGTTGTTCTAATTTCCCGGCACTGTCATCGCACACCGACACTTCGCCGGAGTACCACTACCACTATCAAAACACACACACACACACATAAACGCACATATTACAGCCACTCTGCCAAGCAGGATCTCCATTGGATCGGCCTGGGATTGCACTCAAACAAAAATGAATTCGAAAAAAAATAATTCCTTTTACCGCTACGCATTACTCGAACGGATTTCTGCGTGCGGAGGATGGCTCGAAGCAACATGACACCATTTTTCTTTCGGTTCCCCAGCGACTTTTGCCTGTGTGTCTCTGTTTTGGCAACACTTTTGTACTAGGTTATGTACCGCATGCTCAAAATTGGGTCTTACCTTCTGTAACCGCTGTGGAAAATTATTTTGGTTGGTTTGTCAGTGGCTTGGTTGACTGTTCGCGTATTTTATACGTTTTTTTCTTGTTATTTTCACTGTTCTTTTTCAGCACACACAGAAGCTGCACGAACTAAACACGTGTCGACGTCCACCTTTTACATATCATAACATGGCCGGCGTATACAGTGTTGCCATCTACGCAAACACAAGCCGAATAGCCTAGCGGCTTGTCTAAAGCCGAAAATTTTTCACTTCGCAAATGCACTAGGAAAATACAAAAAATTTCACTTAAAAGTCTTCCAGTAAATTGCAGTTCAATTGTTTTCACAAATTTCCAAAACGTGTGTGAGTTTGGTAATCAAGCTGAATGGCAACACATGAACAACAAGGGTTGCTTTGCAGTGGCATCGATGGCTAACAATACATCGATGGGTGCAAGCGCTGCTACCACGGTGGAAATCAGTGTTCGTAAATATAAATAGTTAGAAAAAAAATAATATGATTACTCCTCCCAATTGCAATTAAAACAATTAAACTGAACACTATATCCCACTTCGAATTCAATTGTATCTAAATTACAACACATCTTTTTTTCCAATTTAAATGCGAATAATAATAGCAAAACAATTACTATACAATTTGCAGATGCACTTGTTAATACTTGTGGATTGGATGTGACTGTCTGAAATATTATGTTTATTCATTTATAATCAATATTATGTACTCAAAATTAAATCTCCCGCCGAAAAAACAGCGATAGCTTTGGCACTCAAAAATATCGTAGTATCGTTTCTTTTGACAGCCGCAAAAAGGGTGGCAGCTCCTGCGTCAGCAGCAATATTACATCCGGTTGGCTTTTTCTCTCTTTCCACCTTTTGACAGCAACTGAGGTAGGTCGACCAGCGTATTATTCTACAAATATAATAGCCATCCGTGCATTGTTTGTGTGAATTGTGATCTGAGTGCCAAGTTAACATGTAAACACAGTTTATCAACTAACTATTTTGCATCAATTAAAACAAAGCTGGATAGCAAATGTTTATTTAATATGTGTTGTTTTTTTTGTTTGTTTCAGTGACGATGGCTGTCCGCTACGAGCTCTGCATCGGCCTCAACAAAGGCCACAAGACATCCAAAGTCAAGAATGTCAAGTACACCGGAGACAAGAAGGTGAAGGGTCTGCGTGGATCTCGTTTGAAGAACGTAAGTAGTCCCCGGCACTGCCCTTATTGTTGATGCCCCCGCCATTTGTTTACATTGACTAATGTCTGGTTTGCTTCCCACCTACAGATCCAGACTCGTCACACCAAGTTCATGCGCGACCTGGTCCGCGAAGTTGTGGGCCATGCCCCCTACGAGAAGCGTACCATGGAGTTGCTGAAGGTGTCCAAGGACAAGCGCGCTCTGAAGTTCCTGAAGCGCCGCCTGGGCACACACATCCGTGCCAAGAGGAAGCGTGAGGAGCTGTCCAACATCCTCACCCAGTTGAGGAAGGCTCAGACTCATGCCAAGTAAACTCCGAAGGAACGCGTCCCGCGATGTGTTTTTTTTTTGTTTTCGTGACATGATCAAACAACAAAATATTCTATTTGATGTCGGAGTCGTCTAAGCTTCTCAATATTAAAAAAACCAATATGAAAACCGTACATACAAAACGATGTGTTTAATTTTTTTCAAGTGATTCCACATAACCTCACAAAGGTAATTGCAACAAGCAAACAAATAAAAGGAAGCAGAAAATGAACAAAAAAAACCCAAGACTGCCTGTTGTGCGTGTTAGGTGCAGAAATAGATTACCTCTGCCCGAAAGGGGGGTTTGCCATTAAAATTTGCGTGGACTGGGCGCCACCGCTGCCCTTAAAACTGCACTTATAGCGGGTCTCGGCACACATACAGACAGCGCGCAAAACGGAACATTGCAATGCACTGGTATTGGTACGAATCACTGTAAAACGCGTGTACGTGAGCGGCAGAGCACTGACTCGTAGGAATACACCAAATATCCAGCTTCTAATGATAAATAAACCAATCCCCGCAATATTTAATGGTATTTGGCCTTGTTTAATCGTTGGCTTGATATAATTTGATTGGTTTTTAGCTTAATACGTAAAGACGTGTAGGAGACGCTGCTGAAGACAGTTAGAAATGTTTAAAAAAGAAATTGAAACTTGATGCTTAAAAATTAAAAGTGTGAGTAAGGCTGTGGAGACGATTATTACTAAGGAAATAAGCACAGGCATGCGGACGCACAGACTCTCCAATGGACGACAGGACACGCGACGCGAGACACATGCAGAAATCTGCCTGGAGATATGAGTTTTTTTTTGGTTTTGTGCGGCAGGGCACGAGATCAGAGGGCGAGACGAGGCGGTTAATGGTTTGGTGTGTGGGTGTGGTTGTGGCTTAGGTCTAGGACGTGCAGTGAGGAGTGGAAATATACTTAAATTATCTATGGGTATGACAATGGAGAACAGCCCTTGCATAGCATGATGAGGTTTTGGGTGTGTACCGACCGACCGCCCTCAGAGCTCGTCAGTGAGGGTCGGCAGCGATATGATGACCTCGCCCACGAGCTGGGCCTCATCCGGATCGTTGGAGACAATGATGCGCCCAAATTCTGTATTCGTTGGATCCACAATCTCGTAGCAGCTGCCGCCGCCCGACGATGGCTTCTCCTCAGCTCCATCATGGTTGGGGGGATGCGATTGCGGTGCGAGTATCTGCTGGGTCACCTCCATGCTCTCGAGGCGCGTCGTCTCCAGCCGATAGAAGCCGTTCTCGTCCACGCGGTACGTGAAGCGCTTGTGGCCCGATGGCAGCCGAAAGCCGTGCTTCTGCATCAAATGTGTGGACAGCGATTTGCCGCTCTTGAAGAAACGCTCGCAGCAATGGCACGCATACAGAATGGGATTGTTGCCATGCACCTCCAGGAAGTGCTGCAGCAGAGAGAGAGTGAGCATCGATGGGGATTTGGTTGGTTGTTTTTGTTCTTCAGCTTACCCTGCGCATTTGGGCGTAAGTGCGCACCGAGTACTGGCAGTCTGGGTGCTCGCATCGATGCACCGTCTTGTTGTGCACAATCTCCACATGCTTGAGCAGATCTGACTCGCGCACGCAACGCTTTTCGCACTCGCTGCACTTGAGGGGCTTGTCCTTGAGGTGGCGGTAGCGTATGTGGGTGGTCAGGTCGCTGGCCGAGCTGCATGTCATGTCGCACATGGTGCACTTGAAGCCATTTATGTGCCGCAGCACATGGCTACGCAGCAGCTTCTGGGTGGCAAAGAACTTGAAGCATTGGGCGCACTGAAAGCTGTTGGCTGCATAGCGAGCCGAAAAAATGGTTTACAAATTGGCGGGAAAGTGACAATGGTTCGTGGAACTCACTGTTGTTGTCCGGCTGGCGACGCAGGTGATCGAAGAGCGTCGTCTTGGTGCGAAACACCTCGCCGCAGTGGTGGCAGGCGACCAGCTTCTTGTTCGAATGGGTGCTAATGTGCTCGATGAGGCGATACTTGTTGTCCATCTGCTTGTGGCAGAGGTTCCAGTTGCACTGCGTCTTGGGCCGCTCGTCGTCGGGCGTCTTCTGTATGTCGTACTCGAACAGGGCGTGCTTGACTATGTGATCCTGGAACTCCACAATGGATACGAACTCGCGCTTGCAGTCCATCCAGCCGCAGTGGAAGTTCTGCTTGAGATCGGGCAGCTTGTCCGCCATGCGGGCGGGCGCACAACAGGCGGGTATCTCCGGATGCAGGTCGCACTCGAGCTTGCCCTGGAGCAGCAGTTGGCTGTAGTAGCCGTGATAGTACGCGTGACGCTCCAATTCCTCGGCACAGTTTGTGCGGAAAACGCAGTCGTTCCATTGGCAGGCATGCTCTGAGTCGTTCTGCTGCTGCTGCTCGGCGGCATACGTCTCCAGGTGCTCGGCTATGTGGCTATTGAGGTTCCATTCGCCATTGCAGATCTCCTGGCAGCCCTGCCAGCCACAGCACAGTGGCAGTTCGGTAATTTTTTTACGTTTGCTCGCTGGCTGGTGGCTCATCCTCAAGCAGGGTATCTTTGTGCACTTTCCTGCGGCTGGCTAGGGGTGTGGTCTCGACACTCACGGCCTTAGGTTCGCTTAATTTGATGCAATTCAATAATTTCGAGCCAATTTTGTCACTCTGCCTAATTTTCACGCCCCACAATATTGATCAAATTTATCGATATACTTTTGCATCGTTTCTCGAAGCTGCGCCCTCTGTTGGCAGTTATCGATAAGGCAGTGCAATTCAAATGTGCGCGCTACAAATCATGAAGTAACTATAAGGAGGTCTCTTCGGTGGCAGAGTTTCATAGTTTGCTGCATGATAGTAGTCCTTGTTTAAAAAAACAAAAACATTTTGAAAAAATTAAAAAAAAAACAATTTTGTCTGCAACCAAAAATACAATTTTGAAGATAAAAGAAACCCAAAAACGCCATTCCTTAGGGAATGGCCATATCTATCAGATCACCAAATTGGGATCCGATTGGATCATTATTATAGCCAAAATGAAGAAATTAATGTGCAGTGGCTAAACCCACCCTGTCCCGCAGCTTTTGTTGTATTTTTCACATTCCCTCATTCACACTCTGCTTCTGCTTCACTCGGCCCCTGCCTCTGCCGTCCCTCTGCCTCTGCCTCTCTCTGTCGCAAAGTTTTTGATTGGTAACGCTGAAGTACCTCAATATTTGAGTTGCTAGTAGGCCCCCAGAGCTTTATAGCGTAGGTCCAAACCGGCTTCAGTATGGATTTGTAAAGGCGAATTTTGTTTTCCAAAGTGGTGTCTGATTTTCGACTTATCAACCAGGACATTTTTAGTGTTTCAAGTCTGAGTTGTTGACATTTTGCTGTGGTTTTAATGTAGTTTTTCCATGTTAATCTGCGGTCGAAATGCAAGCCGAGATACTTCACACAGGTACTTTGTGGAATTGGTGAACATTTGGGCACTTGGGAGTTGATTCTATTTTTCCATCGAAGGAACCAGTCTTCAATTGGGCTTAGCTCACTCTGCAGGAGTTCGGAAGCTTCATTTATAGATGTGCTTGTGGCTAAAACGGCTGGTAGCCATTTCTTTAGCTTGCACAACAAACCTTTGTGCCAGACTCGATCGAACGCTTGTTGAACATCAAGAAATGCAGCAGTGCAGTACTTTTTGGTTTCAAATGCCGAGACTATATCATTAATAGCTTCGACATTGCTCAGGGGTCCCGTGACCTCTCCTGAATCCGAATTGGTATTCAGGAATGATGGAAAGTACGTCCAAAATTTGCAACATTCTCTTCAATAGTATTTTTTCAAACACTCTCGACAGACTAATGGGACGCTATGATGTCAATTCCGTTTCTATTTTGTTTGGCTTTAGGATCATAATGATCTCTGCACATTTCCATTGACGTGGAAAGTGGTCTAGTCTGAGAATCGCGTTAAATACAAGAGTGAGAAACCGAATGCATATTTTATCAGGGCCTGGTGCCTGGTTTGATTTCTGTCACAATTTCTTCATATTTGATGCTTTTAATAGGCAAGCTCATTTGTTCACCATCAGACTTGCACCAAGTCTGTTGCTTCTGCGAATATTTATGTTTCTTTTAGCTGGTTTCTTTAGGTATGTATCTGTAATATGTTTTCCCTGGCAGCAAAGGGAAGTTAGAGAAACGAAGGCGCTGTGAGAATTCCATATAATATTCCATATTCAAGTTGTTTTTTGTTGTAGCTTAAAATCTAATTATCTAATACTTAATGTACATAAATATGTATGTATGTATGTATGTATGTATGTATGTATGTATGTATGTATGTATGTATGCATACACTGTGACACCGTTATGCCACAAAGCTCCCTCGAAGCTCAGTCCAAATTGAAACAGAAGATCTCCTCCCACCCATCCCCCGCTTCCATATGGAAGCTTTTATGGCTGGAAGCGTGTTGCGTGTGTGTGTGTGTGTGTGTGATGTCCTAGCATTCAGAGTCCTGGCATCACGTATGCAATGTTATCCAGCGTGTTGGCTAGGTTATTGCGCAGCTGTGGCTTATTCTCGAGGCCCGGTATCTGCGTGGTCATGCAGAGTAGCGGCCCCATGGAGCAGAGCAGGCTGTCCAGCAGCACGGATAGGCTGCCCGAGAGCGCCACGTGCCCGTTGTGCTTCTTGAGTCGCTCCCCAATCACCGTGAGACTCTCTCCGAGCAGCTTTAGGTGCGCTGCCGCATCGATGGCCGCAATGTTTGACTTCTCCGCTGGCAGCTGATATTCCCGCTGGCTGCCCGTGCCCGTGCCCGCTCCCGGCGACAGCTCCGTGTCCGAGGGTGAGTGCAGCACGGGCGTTGGCTTCTTGCCCGCGGAAGATCTATTCGTAGCCGATGGTCGACGCCCACGGCAGCTGCGGGTGGTGTTGCGCCTCGGTCCACCAGTCGCTGTCGTCGCTGGCATCGTCGGTGTCGCCGACTCCAGACGATCGGCGGCCAGTTTCCGCGTGCGACTTGTCGTTGCGCGGTTCATAAAGTTCCCCTCGGGGGCTGGTGGCTCGGCGGCTGTTGTGCCACCATTGCTGGCTGTGGGCAGGGGCGGCAAACCATTTTTCTCGCGTGCCCGAGCCTTTGTGGACTGAACCTTGGCCTTTCGTCGCCAGGCAATCTTTTCCCTGTTCGAAACATTTGCCCACAGCTCGCTGAGGCGTCGGGCGGCATTGGAGAAGTCTGAAGAGGGCAAGGAATCGAGTTAAGAGGAATCGAAGGGCCAGCCAATCGGCGCTTACCCAGATCCTGGAAGTCTCGCTTGCGAATCTCTCTCGCCCACAGGCTGTAGGCTGTGTACCGTGTCTTTCCCTTGTCCTTGCGATAGGGCTTACCGGTGACCACCTTGCCCGCCTTGAGCATCTTCCTGGAGTTTGTCTTCTCGCGCATGTAGAGGCTCTGGCGCATGGTGGACTCGTTGTTGGTGGCCTCCGCTTCGACGCCATCGACCAGATCCTGCACCAGGTTGTCCAGCTCATCGTCGGAGTTCATCAGTACGATGCCCATTGTTGGAGCGGGTATGTGTAACTCTGAGTCAGATAGATTGTGATCATCGAAGAGCATATCTTGCTCGAGCGCCCGCTCCAGTTCGGCCTCCCGCTCCCTGAGGGCATTCGGTGGTCGACCTCGACCCGGATACCGGGCTGGTGGCCTGCCCTGGCCGCGTCTTGCCTTCTTCTCGACCTCCTCCGGCGACTCGAAGTCCAACAGCTTCGATGACTTTTTGCGTACGCGTCCACTCCTCGAAATGCCTGTGACCTGAAAATCTAATGAGGCATTCTCTTAGTTGCAGGCCTTCGATTGGGATACGCCTTGAATACGTTACCCTTAGCCACTGGATAAAATGTTGGCGACTCCATTATTGGTCGCAACTTTGCTGCCCCGCAATGGAAGCAATTGTTTTTCTTTTTTTTTTTTGTAGACGATGCAAATGGTGCGAAGAAGACAGACTACAATCAGCTGCTCGGTGTGACCAGCGCGCCATTCAAAATAGCGCTTCGGCCCTGCTGCTGCCAAAAATAATAGTAATTACTTTCTATGTAACCCATGTTTAGGCACTGGTTAGGTGACTATTTGGTGGTCTACTAGTTGCACAAGAAATTTTAGCGCTATGAGTTATTCCGAGCTAATGTTAGTTCCGCTGCACAGACTGGTTCATGAAGTAATTATAGGGAGGTCTCGTCGGCAAAAATTATGGAAAGAGTGAAAGGGCTCTCGCAGTAAGTGTGAGGGTAACGACAAGGGAGCGTGCTGATTTTGACTTTGCTCCTAAAATCTTCTCTTCTAAAAACATACCCGTACATGAACCAATTTCACATCTTTCGAGACCATTAACTGCACCAAATCATTTTTTGGCGCACATACGGTAAACACTTGCGAACAAATTATGTCCGCGACCAACCTTCCGCGTCGATAAGCAAACGAGCACTGGAAATTAGGAAAAGCAACGAGACGAAGTCTCCGACGAGACCTCCTTATAGTTACATGGACTGGTTAAGCGTTATTCACACGCCTGACGGCACTTGGTCACACTGCCTGATTGTTGATTTGTTTGTGGGGGGAAGCCAGAAGCAGGGAAGAAGAAGAAGCGAAGCGGCATTTAATTTATTGATTTGGAAACCACTGAGAAATGCCTGATGGCACGCGATGCAAGGCGATTGTGAGTCGCCGGTCCCGAAACCAAGGACATCATTACCCCCCTCGCTGTATTTGGTGAAGCGACTGTAACGTGTTTTTTTTCATGACCAAAAACAGCGACTGTGTCGCCCCGTTCAAACCCAAACGGACATCACACACACAAAAACTCACTCCGTGCGCGACATTCAAAGCGTCGCAAGTGTTCAATCATAATCATTATCCAGCAGTGCCTTTTGGGATTAAGATACTACTAGAAAGGATGTCGGTGGCTGCAACAAATGGAATCGCCGTCGGTGGCGGTATCAGTGAGACCGATAATGTCTCTGCCCTTGAGCTGCAATCAAATCGACGCATGCTGTACTTCAGTGACGGCGTCATGGAGGAGCTATCCTCATCCAGCGATAGCGAAACCGAAGCGGATGTACCGGACAAGTGCTACAATATCCAGTTGGATGAGGTGCGTCATTCTCTAGGTTCTCTTTCTCCTACTCCGTGACTCATTTCTCACTCATGTGTGTGCGTGTGTGTGTGTTTTGCTTTTTCCTTTTTGCAGCGCGAAATGGCATTGGGGCCGCGCCTACGGTACAAGGCCAGCCGCATGGGCAATAAATTCTTAGCCGGCATTGACTATGTGGGCGGTGGGCTGGCCTCCCTGCTGGGCATTACCAATACCAAATATGCCAGCGAAATGGACAGCTACCAAAGGGCCAAAATCCAAGGGGACGAGGACCTTGACAACAACTGGCAGCCGCAGAACAACAATCACAACAACACAAACCGCAACGAGACCATCGTGATGTGTGCACCGGCACGCAGCGAGTTGGCAGCTCCACCACCGACTGAAGTGCAGCAGCAGGGACGACAATAGCAAGAGAGACAGAGGGAGGAGAGATTTTGATACTCGATTTTTACAAAATGGTAAAACCAAAAAGCGAATAATAATATTTTGCAACATTTTCGACACACTTTATTCGCTAGCAAAATAAGTTACAATAAAAGAAATACAAAAACAACAAATTCAATTGTTAGTGTATGCGAATTATATCAAAGATGTACATAAAATGGTATACATAATAGGTATATAGTAGGTATATAGTAGTATATTTAATATATGTATTGTATATTGTTTTACCCCTTAAAGCTAATGGCACACTGAATACAGTTTAGGAATATTAATGCTAGCATTACACAATTAATACAATTGCTCTCCCATTAAGTACACTTACGGTTCGTGGGTAGGATAGGGTCGTGCAGGCGGCAGGACACAGCAAAGTCTGAACATTGAACATGCGCGTATCACAGTAGTTGGTTGCTGCGTTAGGCAAGGCAAGAAATGGTTTACGAATTAAGTACAACACCGAAGAAAAGGGAAGGACTACGTAAGGAGGATCCTTAATTTGTGGGGACGTTTACACAGTACAACAAAGTAGGGATTAAGGCGAATCGCGTTGATTTTGACTAGCACTCAATGAATGATCAGATCCATTGATGTAACAATTTCCAAATTATAATTTAGTTAATCCTTTCTTCTAGCTAGTTAGTTGGTTGCTTACTCAAAGCAACGTCTCATCCCCATAGCGATGCATTTGGGCATAGTAATTGCTGTGGCTGTACTTCTGGCTACCCGCTGGATAATATAAACGATGCGAGGAGGAAGAGTTGTGCTGCTGCTGCTGCTGCTGCTGTCGCTGATGATGATGATGTTGATGGTGCAATGGCTGCAGTTGCTGTGGACTCTGACGATGATGTTGATGTTGATGGTGCTGGTGCTGCTGATGATGATGATGATGGGAGCCACTGTTCCGACCTAGAGTGTAGTTTGATATTTGATTAAGCGAAATGGAGCCAGCACCGGGCGGTGGGGACTTGTGCTTGTACGGACTGGGCAGCGGGGCACTGGCCATCGATTGATGCGAGGGTCGCACCGAATGATAGGAGACAACGGTGCTGCTGCAGGCGGCATGGGATACCCGGGAGCTGCTCTGGCCATCCAAATGGTGCATCTGCAGCTGCTGCTGCTGCTGGGCTGTCGGATTGGAGTGCTTGTGCGGACGCAGCGATAGCTGTCGCTTGTACATGGTGGATATGCTGGGGCCCAGCACCCAGGCGAAGCAGCAAATGCCCAGCATCAGCTCCATGAAGGCGCGCACCAGAAAGGGCCACAGCGGCGTGCTCGTCTCGCCCGAACTCAGCCAGATGTCAATGTTGGCAAACTCGTAGATCACCGCCAGCAGCAGCAGGGCACTGGCCAGGCCATAGATGAACAGAAAGATGCCAATGCCCGAGCTGCTGTGCGCGCTCAATTGCTGCAGCTGCTGCTGCACGCTCAGCGCGTTGGTGTTCCGCAGAATCTCCTTGTTGCGGCAGTGCACCAGGTAGCCGGATATCAGATTCATCGAGCCAAAGATCCAGTAAATAAAGACTGGTGTCGCGACCAGCACCTGCAGCGCCCTGTCCGACTGATTGCCCACAAAGCAGGCGCCTGCAAATGGAAGCCAAAATCCCAATTAGCTGGAATCTTCATGGTGGATTGTGCATCTCGCGCTTACCCAACAGTTCGTCGGCATCCACATAGCGAAAGACAATGACGGCGGCAGTTTGGAAGGCGGGCAGGCCCCAGGCCACAAAGCAAACGAAATTATTTTGCGCCAGATTCTGATGGGCGCTCACCTTGGCAGCCAGCCTGTGGCTGACGGGAATGACCACGTGTCCCTTGGCATCGGGACTGTGGCGGCGTATATCACGATGCCAGCCCAGACATAAAATGGCCCACCTGCGCAGGCGGAGAAAATCAGAAATCAGAATGGCAATGAAAGGCTTTGGGGTCCACAATCCCTTACCAGGCACAGGCAGCCATGCCAAAGTAGTAGCGCAGCAGAAAGACACTCGCACAGGCCGCATTGGACAGCCCGTCCACGCTGAGGAGTGACTCGTTGGGCGCCTGGGGATCAGTGCCGCAGGCGGTGCCCGTGCGACCAACAATGAAGCGCACAGTCCAGCCGATCGTCACCATGTTGTGGCACCAAATCGAAGGTGTGAGCAGGCGCGACCACTTGGCACTGGCCAAGCGGCTGTCATCGCCCACCAGCAGGCAGAGCGTGGCCACAAAGGCCAGCCCGAGGGCAGCATAGGCCCAGGTGGAGACCCAAATTTCGGACAGATGCTTCTCGCTGGGCGTGAACAAAATATCCGCCTCACAGAGCGGTGCACAGCGACCGGAACGCGGCAGCTTCACATACAAATGGGATTTGCCCAAGCCCGAACAGTCCAGCGGCAGTTTGCCGACGATATTGGCTCCACCAGCAGCCACCGGTCCGTAGAGCTCGTGCTCCTGTATGGGCAAGTGCAGCTCACCGGGCCCCTCCATGCACATTGTCTCGTGGTTGTTCTCCCTGGGAAAGCGATCACAGTCGAGGGCCTTGGGCCAGGGGAAGCCGAAGCCCTGCAGCACGGGATGGCAGCGTATCCGCACCGATTCGCACAGACTCTGGCACGGGCCGATCGCGTGCACCGGCGCCTTGGGCGTGCACATGGGCACATAGGCGGCGCACAGGAACAGCTTCAGCTGGGAGCTGCAGTCGTACTCGATCAGCGGCGCGAAGGTCTGCAGCGTGTACTCCACATCCGTCTGCAGCTCGTGGCCCACCAGGTTGGGCATGGAGGTCTCATTGTAGCCGATGCCGCGGCACATCTCAATCCGAATCGTTTCACATTGCCGGAATGTGGGTGGCGGCATCTCTGGCGCTGAACTGGAGCTGGCCGCGGAACTGTTGCTGGGGAATATTATGGCCCTGGTGGTATGTGGCAACGGGCACACCAGCAGGAGCAACACCACGAGGAGGTGGAGTAGGGGCAGTGGCATCGTATGACTGACTGACTGACTGACTGACTGACTGACTGACTCTCTGTCTATCCCACTGCAAATTGATGTTATCTCTGGTTTCCCTTTATGCAGATCCTAATGCCGCTTGCCTCTGCCTGTTGCTGTTGCTGTTGCCGCTACTGATGCTGATGCAGAGAACCTGTTCCTCTCTCACGGTTCTCGGTTTCTTGTTTCTCAGCTTTTGAACATTGCAGCTCTCTCGCTCGCTCTCCCTCTCTCTCGCTCTTTCGGCTGGAACGCAACGTTGTTTTTGTTATTCTTATTCTTGTTCTTGCTGTTCTTCTTGTTGTTGTTGTAGCGGCGGCGGCTCCCCTTGTCAAGTCGTTAACTACCTTTCGCGTCGTTCTTGTTATCGTTGCCGCTGCTCTGCCGCTGCCGCTGCCGCGCTCTGGTTCTGCTTATGTCTGCCACCTCTTGGGGCCGCTGTCGCTGTTCCGTCGCTGCCGTACCAGTTGCCCCCACCCCCCGTTGTCGTTATACAAAACTAGTTTCTGCCTTCGCCTCCTGTCTCCACCCCCCCCTCGACGACACACAACAACACACAAATTCCCGTATGCAGATAATCTTTTTGGAGTGGAAAAGTTTAACCGCTTCTTATGACTTCCACTTGATATGATTTCGTGCCTTCACTTTTAACTGTCTTTTGAGGTGTTTCAGCTAAAATTCCTTTCGTATTTATTGATAACAAATCAATTGTTATTTCAAGAATTTCGTGGAATTTTTTCGTTGTTTGTTTACGCGACAGTGTGACAGTGTGACCGCGGAGTTATCGATAAAATATACCGACAGATCCTCGGAAATACACCGAAATATACTGTCTCATTTTCAAAATATACTGTAAATATACCGCAAACCAAAAATCATTTTCCTCGACTTTGAGGTTCTATTTAATATTACTAGCTAGTTATGAGTGTCAGCGCTAAATCAATAATTTTCTCCAATTTATTAATCAACTCTTAAAAAGATTGGTGAGTTTTCGAATGCAACATGGTAAAAACAGCGTGGGCATTTGTATACTCTATTTCCATAAATTAAAGTTAATCACTGATCGGTGATTTCGATAGGTCCGTTGTGTGGTGATTTCGATGGGAGAAAGCTTGATGCTGGTCGCCATCTGGCGACTTTGCTGAGAACCTGCTTGAGCTTTTGTACAGCTTTTAACATGCGGAAAGCTTTTACGTTTGGCGCTTATTTCAAATGTTCGAGCGGGTAATATTCGAGCTATTTTCGATCTTCACACGGCTTGGCTCATAGTGGATGCAAGTTCCTGGCAAAAACAATCACACAACAGAGTAGCCAGCAGCGGAATTGTTTATAGTTTTGGTAACAGCAGCGCGGGTCGGAGGTGGGCGGCATTAACAATCACCACACACGCATTCCCATAGCCTTTTGTTGTTCTCCTTTTCGGAAATTCAGTCCGCTGTCTCTTTCTCTCTCTTTTGAACTCTTTGGCTGTTTAGGCCACGCCCATAATGATGTGTCCTCAGTTTATCCTCTCACGGATGTCGTTTCACCCCAATGCGCGTTTATGTGTATGTGTGATACGTGACGCACACACCGGCGCACACATGTGGATAACGGTTATTCGTGTGTGTGAGAGAGAGGGAGAGAGAGAGAGAGAGAGAGCACGGAATGGCCAGCAAGCGAGAGAGCGAGAGCTTCATGTGTGTGCGATGTGTGGCCGTTTATGTACATATTTGGCAGGACCCGCAGGACTCTATGCGTGATACATACATGCATACATATGTACATATACTCACGCACACGCGCAGACGTACGCTGTCATGCATGTGTGGCAGCATTTACATACATACATGTATGTATGTACATATATGTATGTATGTATCCCCTATTTTACCCGTTCGTGGGACACACAACTCCCAACTAATTACGAAAGACAAATGAAAGTTTCTGCTGCTTGTACATCAAATTTACATCAGTGGCAAGAGAGTGGGGGAAATGCATGTGTACATAAGTGGCAGATCTAACGGAACTTTACAGCACATATGTATGCAAATATGTATGTATGTGTGTACACGCAATACATATATAGAATTCATGTAATTACAGTTACTTGCACGCTGGGCATTGTGCCCTGCCCGTTACCGTTGCCCGTTGTCAAACGCATAATCCA